ATATAAATTTTAAATAAAAATTTAACATTTTGTATAAATAACAATTAAAATTTTTTTAATTATTATTTATAAAATTTATGTCTTATAAATTAAAAAATTAAAAAAAATTAAAAATAAACACAAATAAATATTAATATTACAATTAATAATCTTACTTGTGCCATAAAGGGGGACACAAGTTAAAAAATTTCTTCTTTTATTTATTCTTTATTTGGATTCATTTTATTGTAATTTGTAAAGCAATCAAGTGAACTTAGTTAAGACAAGGGAAGTTATCTCTTAATCTCAACTGTTTTAAGAATAAAAAGAAAACGTAATGTTTGAAGGCAAAGGTTAAACCAGACATTTCATTTACCTTGCGAAAGCCATTAAGGTAATTTAATCCCCACATTCTCTTCGCACACAAAATCTGTTCATCAGAACAAAGAAGCGCAAGCCCTAAAGACAAAAGACTTTTAAACTCTAAAATAATTCATTCTCCATAGATTTGCTGATAAAAGCTTCAATCTAACATCGTATTCACTTTCGTTCCCAACTCCTTGGATTTTATCTCTACGTAATTTCAACTTGTCCGAACACCGATCCAGATTTCCCGCGATTTAGATCTGCGGATAAGAAATCTTGATTTTTTTTTTTTTTTTTCTTTCATCAGGTTTCTGTTTGTTGAGATAAGCAGAGATGGAGGATGACAAGAAGAAGAAGAGGAACAAGAAGAAGAAGAACAAGCAGGTGGGGAAAACGGGGGAAGATGTGGATCAGAATAATGTGAACCGTCGGCAGAACGGGGAGACCACAAAAACTGAAATGGCTGAGGATCTGGATGCACCCCAGCTCAATGGCACTACACAAGATGTGAGTTTTTGGTTTATAGTATCTTGTTAGTTCATTCATTATGTGGTTGATTTGAGCTTGATACCCTTTTTTGAACTTTTAACGCATTGGATTTCTGGGTTAGGCATAAATGACTCTTCTTTGGAATTGGAAATTGGAAATTGGAATCTGAAATATTCATAAAGCTGGATCATTTTGATTAAAGTTAGCATTTTGGAAATTAATATCAGAAAGGTATAACTGTATGCATGTGCTTCTTGCTTTTGAAGTTAATCTATCTATTTAACCCAGTTCTATAATGTGATTCTTAAGCCTACAGAGAGGAGAATACCTGTAATGAGTGTTACATGCGTTTTGCTTTTTTAAGACTAGGTCACTATGGTTGCTGATGGTACCTCATTGGTTCTCTTGAGGGGGGTGCACTTTTGTAATGGACAGTTAATTTGATAAGGTGACCCTAACGATGATCCTCCTTAGGACCTAGATACCCTTAGAATGTTTAAATATTTTAACTCTTTCAGTTCCTGGCCATGTTACAATTACGAGAATTTTGCAAGGTTCTTTGCATGATCCTCATTTTAATTTTTTTGGCTTCTATGAGTGAATGAATTTCTATCTTTTTGGTCCCACTCATCAGAAAACTTTTTTCTCAGTCCGTTATAGCTGAAGTTGGAGAATAGTGCTTGCTTTGCATTTATTTTTCTCTTTTCTCTGTGAAATATGCTGTTCAAATTTTTTTCTTTATTAGTAGTTAGAGATGAAGCTGAAGTAGGTTGCTTTGTTTTTACAGGAAAAACTAGAGGGGGATGTTGAAGAAGTACAGAATGGGAAGGAATCAGATATACAGAAAGAGGTAATTCATCTAATTTTATAAATATTTTATGCACTTTTGTTGGACTTTAGAGTTTAGACATGTATCAAATGTGTCTCCATGTTGGTGAAGAGAGACAATGGAGTGAAGTGGATAATGGGAAGGTGTATATAGATGGTATGGGCTAGCCAAGAGAAGTTTCAAGGAGGACCTTCCTTTCACTACAAGGGGTATTGATCTTCAAGGTTGTGTATATGATCAATTCTCATTCATTTTCAGGATAGGAGAATATGGTATTTAGATATTTCACTGATGCTTTTATCCTTCTATCATCTATCAATAGGTCAAGTATAGTTTGTGTCATCTTGTGTGTTTGAGCCCTGTGCAGCATAAGTGAGTGGGTACAGGGGAGGGTTTTGTTTGGCTATTAGTTACTCCTATAATGGTCCTATTACTAACCTTCCTATAATGGTCCTATTACTAACCTTCCTCTCATATTCCACAACATTAGAACCTCCTTTAGAACTCCCATGGATGGCAGGACCAGAATGTACAACTGTTTCCTCATGGCAATATGAGGCAATGCTTCATATCTTCCATTTATTATTTTCCTTTGAATTGATATTCATTGTGGTTGTCATTGTAACTTGCTGTGCTAAATAGGCTACCTTGGAAGAGGCAATCAAATATTTACAAATTCAAAATGACTCACACATACAGAAAGAGGTAATATAAAATGATTTTAGCATAAAAAAGTTACATTATGTTCTTTCTATTAGGCAAGAAACCATTTGTCTTTATTTTCTTCCTTTCAATTATCTTACAAAACTTCTATATTTTGCTTTAGAGTTAT